CCGCTCATTAACATATGCCGGTGAGCCGATCAGTTTTTTTATTGATTTGACTAAATTTTAGTGTGTGGGAGTCGAATTCATTGTATGTGCCAGAACAGCAGTGCAAGCCATCCAGCAAGTGGGTAGGGGCAATGAAAAATAACATGCCTAGTCCTTCATAGAGGAGTTAGGTGAACTGTCCACAGCATCAGAGCTTTCCTCGATCCTCGATTACGGGCATAAATCGAGTTAGGTAACCGTGCGAGATTTCAACATTTCCCGACAGGAATCATGAAGCTTTTGAACGAACTCGAAGTCAAGTTTCTTCAACATCGTCCATCGACTCTCTGGCGAACCGTATCAAAAGTTCGGAAACTCCGCATTCGAAAAACTTGTGGGAAGGTATCCGATGCTACTTCTCTCCCAACTACATCGGCAGTTGCTCGAAGACTACAGAATAGGAGGGGGCTCGCGACCAAGGTTGATTGTTGAAGCTGATTCATCGCTTGTCTATTCAGAAACGATGCCTCATCGGCTAGCGCGACTTATTCACCTCTCGTCACGGAGAGACACGCTTGGAGATCCTGGTTTCGCCTCAAACAATGTGGGAACAACCCAGATCTACACATCAATCAAAGGGGCTCACCAAATTTGATTGCTACTGCGTCAAAATCCTCACTACAACCTAATTATGAGAATGTTCATCCCTTAGCGATCGGCTTTTTGGGCGGCAGCTTGTTCTATCCATTGGCTGCGATTTTCAGCGGAGACACTCGTGAACCGTACCTCTTTTCTGATCTTCATTTGTCCGATAAGCTCACGTCAATTGAGTTCACGTCATAATAAGTGAAATATCTATTTGAGACCTGGATGGTAACAGGTGCCGATAATGGCGCAGAACAATCCCTTCAGTGACTACATGTTCAAAGCCCACCCGAAACCACCAGCTTCCTAGACTCACCTTTTGTCATGCCCAGTAAATCCTCTTTCTTTTCACATAAACCCCAATACTTAGATCATTCGACTTTGATCATGCAGCGAGATACAAAAGCATAAAAGGCAAAAATTCTTTCCACCACTGACCATCGGTGAGGTCAACCTTGACACGCATGACGAATCTTCGTCGACAGCCTATACAGGAAAAAGCAATTCTGGAGAGATAGGGACATCAGTAGTGGGTCAGGGAAGGCGGAGAGAAGATAGAGTGACGCTTGAAATTAACCCCACTGACTTCATTTCGAAACATGGCACTCAATTCAGAACGGTGTAATGAAAGAGGATTAAAGGCTGTTATATACAAGCACTGAAACCTCATTGAAAGAAATTGAGTTCCCGCACCATGAGCCAAATTGGCTTCGCCACAATCGTTTCAACATTTTCATAGGTGAAAGGATTCAAGATATGATAAATGGTGTGCTGTATATCCGTACACACCACACTCTAAAATCGTCCTATAACCAGTTACCCTACAAACGCAGCTACAACAAAGTACTGAGTGTAAAGCGATTACTTCTAATTGAAAAACGATCGAAGCTATGATTTGCTTAACAATTCATCATGGGTCATGGTAAACTGAGCTCCAATCAAGACGACGCATCACACATCAGACTACAAGGTTACAAGGTTAGGTTCATTTTTGGGATTTCCACCACCTCCTATTTGGGGTTCGTAGGGAGTGGATCGCCCATAATTTTAAATCCATTGTATAGAGTGCGGCCTTGTCTTTAGTTGGTCGGAGTTTTCGTCCTTATCGAGATAAACCCAAGATCAAAGACAACCGAAAATGTTGAACTTTCAGAGAATTTGATGAGTTGTTGGATTGCCTTCGACTTGTCTCTTTCGACTGCATCTCAATCCCGGTATTTGAACGGTTTACTCAATGGTATGGGAAGGTAAACGAGGAGGCCGTCGCCTATGTTCAAAATCACGCATTTTTCGAGTACGCATGTGGAACTGGAAAACCAGGTTGATTCCCCTTTGATTTATCTGTTTTTGACTATCTATATTCGAAACCAATGCACTACGCTTCCCAGAAAGGGGTTCATGGAATTAATGAGCTTCTGCATTTATGTAAGGAAGACGAAAATTCACCAGAAAAGTAAACAGGCAGGGTTCTCAAGAAAAATTTGGTTGCTAGGAGCCCTTGGCATGTATATTAAACCCCATATAATACAAGCGAGACTAAATCCCCTTCGTAATCGACTGATCCAAAGGTTTTAATTGAAATTCTGACCTTCGGGGACACCCACAACAGGATCAGTAAATGTTCAGCACTGATTGTGAGTTTGGGCCATTTCTGTTCTGTCTACTATATATTCAGTGCTTGTTGAGGGCGAAATCCACAATTGCGGTGAAGTTGTTTGACGTTGTAATGAATTACTTCCACACGCATGTTAGGTAGAGTCCTCCATCTCGGATACTTCTAGCCATCAACCACAGTAATAGGCGGTCCCGCATCGAACGCTCGTGCACTCTAGTGGCGTCTATCGCGGATTCTCAGGATTTTGTCTAAAAATTACCGTTTTCGTATCTTAGTGTTCCTGGAAAACCATGACTGCCTTTCAAGAGCGTTCACTACACAATCGTTGACCCAACGTATCAATCAGTGTTTACCAACGAATGCGGACATGTGCACGTAAGCGGTGCTTCAGATTCATTTGAAAGTCGACAGAATCTAATAAACACTTTAAGGAGAGCAATGTCTGCCGTGCAATGTGTGAAGGACTCACTGAGCCTTCAATGTTCTCCTCCTGCTGGCTCAGTTGCCTGTGCAGCGGCAACCAACATAGCCCTGAGGGCACAAGAAGTTAGCCCTATATGTATCCAAGAAATGAATCTCAGATGTTCCACATCGTCGATATTCCTGTGGGTTGTAATCATCGCCACATTCTGCTCCGCTTTCTTGCTATAGAGTATTGATTTGATTATTTGTAGAATTTATGTATATTGGTCACAATAAATGGAATTGTAATTGTTTCCGGTTGTACTTCGGAATGTTATTAATGATTAATAACATTTTTGTCATTGACTGAAAAGCGTTGTATGAGTAATGCTAGGGAGTTTGCACTCCACCTAATCACGTTCATTCAATCATAGAGCTTCAAACATCAGATTGTTGATTCCCTGCACCGAGAATCAACTTCTATTCTTATCTCCTTCTGTAGTACTTCTTCGTACGCTTCCCTTGACCGCTGAAGGTTTGAAGGTCATCGAATTTTCCGAAACTTCTAGTCATTTCTAGTCATGTGAGCTCGACAAGCAGATGCCAGCTTGTTACCTTTTCACTTGAGAAGCTATTGTGCTTGTGTGCTCCGGTCGTTTAATGGAAGTTCAGTGTTGTGCAGAAACTCAACAAGTCTCGAAAACCTGCAATTGTCGTGGCTTTTTTCCCTCTCGAGACTGGTTATTCTTGTAAAAAAAACCCCACCGTAACGGTTACATCCTCAACGGCACAGTTCGTAATTTTGAGGAACCCGTTTTTATTCGAAAAGCGGAAGTATAGATTGGGAACTAATCATCGGTAGTGAAGAAAGCGAGAGGATTCGCCGATTCAGAGAAAAATATTGCTCCTAAAAAGTAGAGAAAATAGAGGTTGGACGAGAGTCCCATGAGGAAATAACATGGAAGGGGATCCGGACGAGATTTCAGTTATTGAAATTGCACAAAGAGCTGACTACATCAAGCCAGAACTGTACAGAACTCTCTTTCACTGTATTCGTCCGAGGATACAAACGGGCCAATCATTGAGCTTTTATAGCTCCCTAACTTGGCCGTTTTAAGACCTAATAGTGCCAGGTATGGCGTACGTGGGGTCTCAAATTCATCCTGTAGGGGAATTTCAGAAACCATTTTTATCGTGAACTGTGCCTTTGAAACTTCTGGGAAGCTGTACCTTTTTAAGTATACTTTATGCGACATTTCGAGCTCATGGAGTTTGCAGCGATGAAAGTGGACTTCCTTCCGGTTGGGCTTTGACTATACTTCAAATTGCGCGGTTCAGGCCCTCAAATAGCTTACAATAGCGCTGAGACGACATCGCTTGCTCTTCACATCAACTGAAAGAGACCATTACGACTAATTGTGTGGTCTAGTAGGGTTTTTCTCTCGGCGCTTATCAGAGCAGCCGGTTTGGTGTAAAAATTGATCACTATCGTGCTCCATGGATTACGGTAACAGGCTCTTGAAGAAGCGAATAGTTAGTTGCGCAAATCACAAACAGGACCAATAAGTTGTTTTATCTCTTTATTTATTCCTTACTGTTCATAGTGTATTAGAGTCAAATCCTACTTGATTCGTTTCACTTGGCAACACTTGCCTTGGAACCACTTAGCTGGAATCCTGCGCATCAGCGACACTATCAGAGTACTCTTTCGAAGCCCTGTGCGTAACAAATATTCTTCTTTCTTCATCTTCTATTGTGCTGCAAGATTTTCTAAAATGACTGACATTGAAAAAACGTGGATGTTAAATCCCTCAGTTCTGATCTTGATGTCATCCCTTTGGATGGGAGCGAAATGATTCTTATTGGCCCATCCTGCCTTTCTGCGATGGTTAGTTTCAATTTTGATGTAGTCGTCCATTGTGGATGCCTGCCCGAGATTCACGCACTGAAAGAACTTTTATAACTGAATTTTCCGTACGGATGTCATGATCATCCGTTAATTTGCTCTTCATCTATTCGATCTCCCAGGATGAATTACCAGTACCATGGCCCTAAAGGCAATTTTCAGGATGTTCAATAAGGTTTCAAGAACGTGAGAGGTATCAACAAGAAGCATAATATCCTCCGCAGGGATCAGAAATTGTACCGTATTCTGTATTTGCCACTCATATCAATGCCGTAAGAGGCAGAACCTTACGCTTTTTAAGCTCTGAAACTGCAGAGCACAGCCTCTATGGAATGATATTACCTCACCGTACGCCGATCTTGATGTCGAAACGAACAGTTCTTTAAGTAGTTTGATGTCGGCAAAGCAGCTCATGTTGCGTTGTTATATAATTTCGACACAAAGTAAAAGAAGACGTTTTTGGCGTTAATCAATCCCGCCTAAGAGATACGCTCCGCAACAGCCCGCAGCAGCGCTGAGACGAAATCGCTTGCTTTTCACATCAACTAGAAGTAACCTTTCTGACCTTTGTGTGTAGTCTAATAGGGTTTTTATTTCAGCGCTTATGAGAACAGCGGTTTGGCGTAGAAATTGATCACTATGGTACTG